TTAGTCCTGGTTCAGTCCTGGTTTAGTGTTCAGTCCTGGTTTAGTCCTGGTTCAGTCCTGGTTTAAGTCCTGGTTTTAGTCCTGGTTTAGTCCTGGTTTAGTCCTGGTTTAGTCCTGGTTTAGTCCTGGGTTCAGTCCTGGTTTATATACGGCACAGTCCTGGTTCAAGTAGTTCAGCATCTTCGCAGTTATTTTGTTGAGAGTAAATTAAAAGTGCTGCAATATTCGTGTCATATTTTACATTTTAAACACAGTAATATTATAATTTAACAAATCACTTTGAAACGACAGAAACAATAAATCAACACATTACAAACACATTACAGTTTTAAAGTCATTAATCATAACATTTTTACTTTTCTGCACGCACTGATTTATATTTCCCTTTTTTTTTTTTTTTTTTTAAATAGTCACCCAAATGTTTTTATCTATTTTGGCCCAGTTCTCGAATCTCCTCGGCCAGAAATAGCCCTCGATTTTGGGTTCACGGCGAGTTTAATTCCCCCGTAGAGACGCGATGAGTGGCTGTATGTTTATGCGCGATTACGGCCGGCCCTTTGAGTTTTCGAGCCACTTAAAGGGAATTTGCCGAGCTCTCCCCGAGGAAAACTAAAGCTAAGACTTCCAACGCCAATATTTGCTAAGACCGCCATTCCCGGGACAGATGTTTGAACATACAGCAGCATTTATACTCTTGAAGAAACGGATTTGGAAACAGCCAGACATGGAGTTTTAATTAACAAACCTTTCTTAGTCCTGGTTCAGCTCTGGTTCAGTTCTGGTATAGTCCTGGTTCAGACCTGGTGCAGTCCTGGTTTAGTCCTGGTATAGTCCTGGTTCAGCTCTGGTTTAGTCCTGGTTTAGTCCTGGTTTAGTTCTGGTTCAGTTCTGTTTTAGTCCTGGTTCAGTTCGGGTTCAGCTCTGATTCAGTTTTGTTTTAGTCCTAGTTTAGTCCTGGTTTAGTCCTGGTTCAGTCCTGGTTCAGTCCTTGGTTCAGTCCTGGTTCAGTCCTGGTTTAGTCCTGGTTCAGTCCTTGGTTCAGTCCTTGGTTCAGTCCTGGTTTAGTCCTGGTTCAGTCCTGGTTTAGTCCTGGTTCAGTCCTTGGTTCAGTCCTTGGTTCAGTCCTGGTTTAGTCCTGGTTCAGTCCTGGTTTAGCCTTAGTTCAGTTCTGTTTTAGTCCTGGTTCAGTCCTGGTTCAGACCTGGTGCAGTCCTGGTTTAGTTCTGGTTCAGTCCTGGTTTAGACCTGGTTTAGTCCTGGTTCAGTCCTGGTTTAGTCCTGGTTTAGTCCTTTTCAGTCCTGGTTTAGTCCTGGTTCAGTCCTGGTTTAGTCCTGGTTTAGTCCTTTTCAGTCCTGGTTTAGTCCTGGTTCAGTCCTGGTTTAGTTTATACATTTATACTCTTGAAGAAACGGATTTGGAAACAGCCAGACATGGAGTTTTAATTAACAAACCTTTCCCCCGGATCTGAGAGCGAGCGAAATGAGAAAATGAAAAAAAAAAAAAAAAAAGTGATTCAGTTCGGTAATTTTCACCGTTGGTGGTGGTGACGACAAAGGACGATTAATCAGAGGAAATCACGGCTCGCGTCAAAGCGTCAAGATATTATTTATTTAAATCAGATTAGAAAGGAAACTCGACTCAATAGGCTCTAATTAAACAGAAATGCGTCAGTTTCTGAGGATTAATTCGAAAGAGTAAAGCGGTGTAAAGACAGTGTTTACGTTTTATAAGATGAGACAAGTTTTTATTTATTTTTTTTATTTGGTGATTTTTTTTTTTTTCTTCTGGTTCGAATTTATTTAATCAATTATCGATAAATTAGTGTTTAAACTGACAGAAAAATGCATTTGTTATGTGTGAACTAAACAGGGACTACACTTGGACTAAACCAGGTCTAAACTAGAACTAACCCAAGACTGTGAGGGACTAAACTAAACCTGGACTAAACCAGAACTAACCCAAGACTCAGAAGGACTAAACAGGCACTAAACTTGGACAAAACTTGGACTAAACCAGGTCTAAACCAGAACTAACCCAAGACAGTGAAGGACTAAACAGGGACTAAACAGGGACTAAACTTGGACTAAACTTGGACTAAACCAGGTCTAAACCAGAACTAACCCAAGACAGTGAGGGACTAAACTAAACTTGGACTAAACTAGATCCAAACCAGAACTAATGCAAGACAGACAAGGACTAAACAGGGATTAAAATAGGACTAAACCAGGTCTAAACCAGAATTAACCTAAAACAGTGAGGGACTAAACAGTGACTAAACTTGGATTAAACCAGGTTTAAACAAGAACTAACCCAAGACAGTGAGGGACTAAATTAAACTTGGACTAAATCAGAACTAACCCAAGACTCAGAAGGACTAAACCAGGTTTGACGAGAACTAACCCAAGACAGTGCGGGACTAAACAGGAACTAAACTTGGACTAAACCAGGTCTAAACTAGAAATAAACAGTGAGGGACTAAACAGGCACTAAACTTGGACTCAACTTGGACCAAACTTGGATCAAACTTGGACTAAACCAGGTCTAAACCAGAACTAACCAAAGATAGTGAGGGACTAAACTTGGACTAAACCAGATCTAAACTAGAAATAAGACAGTGAGGGACTAAACAGGAACTAAACTTGGACCAAACTTGGACCAAATTTGGACTAAACCAGGTCTAAACCAGAACTAACGAAAGATAGTGAAGGACTAAACTTGGACTAAACCAGGTGTAAATTAGAACTAACCCAAGACAATGAAGGACTGAACTTGGACTAAACTAGGTTTAAACTAAAACTAAGACAGTGAAGGACTAAACGGGGACTAGACTAAACTTGGACTAAACCAGGTCTAAACAGGAACTAACTTAAGACAGCGAAGGAATAAGCTTGGACTAAACTTGGACTAAACTTGGACTAAACCAGGTTTAAACTAGAACTAACCCAAGACAGCAAAGAACTAAATAGGGACTAAACTTGGACTAAACTTGGACCTAAGAACTAACCCAAGCTGGTGAGGGACTAAACTGGGACTAAACCAGGTTTAAACCAGAACTAACCCAAGACAGAGAGGGATTAAACTTGAACTAAAATTGGACTAAACTTGGACTAAATTTGGAATAATCTACGACTAAACCAAGTCTGAATTAGAACTAACCCAAGACAGTGACTAAACAGGGACTAAACTTGGATTAAACCAGGTCTAAACTAGAACTAACCCAAGACTGTGAAGGACTAAACTTGAACTAAACTTGAACTAAACTTGAACTAAACTTGAACTAAACTTGGACTTAACCAGTTCTAAACCAGAACTAACCTAAGACAGAGAAGAAGTAAACAGATAACACACAAAATATTAGAAATACTTTGAATATGTTACTTAAGATCCAAAAAACTTTAAAAATAATAAAGTAAACCACTGAAATAAATCAATAAATACATTGAAAGTAGAAAGTATATATACTGACATATTTATAAAACATTTGGATTTGGATTGTACATGTTCTAATTAATCTGCAAAATACTCAACGTAGAACAGGTTAGCAACTAAATTTACAAGACCAAGATTTACAACCTTTGAATTGTCCCAAAGAAATGAAAAGGATGAGCATACTGCCATCTAGAGGCGAAACATGAGACTGCAAATACATAAGACATCAGACATAAGACAAACTTTATAAAACTACAAGGGAAATAACTTGGACGCAATAGCTCACATATCACAATATATTATAATAAAAAAAAAGAGTAAAAAAAATAAAAATCAGGCTGACCAGTGTTTGTATTTAGCTTAGAAAATGGGAGAATTTGAATTTATTTTGATTTGGGAGATTTCCTTCATTGTATAAGTTGCATTTAACTTTGATTTGAGGATACTAGAAGTTAAAAATGCAGAATTAGGGATAACAGCACGTGCATTTTGATCTTAAACTAAACAAAATTTAACACCACCCCAATATATTTAGAAAGACTTAACCAATTTAAACCCAGCTCTTCGCTTTTGTGTTTGAAGTGTAAGAGTGAGACTGGTACCTTTACTTTACACACTGTTTTGGGTCTTGTCCAAAAGTGCAACAATTCTGGAAATACAAAAAGGAGGAAGAAGGACAAGTATAATAGAAAATTGTACGGGATGCTGGATTTTTGTGCTAGAAAAACTCTAATAGTGAATTGGATATCAGAAAATGGTTCTGAGTTTTGTTTCTCTCGATTACCTCTCGATGTGTCGGCTTCATCATAATATTTTCAAGCAGATTTGGGAACTTTTTGATGTATACTGGACTTGAGATCTCAGCTGTTATGAATAGGGCATTTAAATTTTTAAATGGGTGTATTTATGTGTCATATATATGAACGAGCAAATATTTATATTGTTTTTATCATGCTGTTTATTTTGTTTATACGAAAAAGCAATAAATATATATGCAAAACTTAACACTTCACTGTGATGAAACGTGTAAAAATGTTACCCTAATATTAAAATAAGTCTTGTATTTATTACTAAAACAAGGTTGATGTAGTACTAATGATCACCACTAGTTGGCAGCATCTTTCAACACACTCCAATGTTTATCTTCTTTTCCTCTATCGTTGAGCTTTGTCGCATTCATGACCAGCGTAACACTTGGAACTGTCAGTCCTTCAATCAAAACGACCATTTTTCTTGTATATACTATAAACTATCTATCGTAATTTCCATTTGTCCTTTCGTTAGTCATTTACAATAGTATTTTTGAGAAAGATGTGCATGAATTTCAACAATATATCGTCATGAAAAAAGTATAATCAAAAATATATGATACGTTTCTACACTAATTCTATACAAGATACAAATTAAGCAAGTATACAATTACTTTTATGTCTACAAAACGTGCTCTTAACAATATATATTCATTTTACATCATATTATCTATTAAATTTTTTATTTCTTGTACTTTTATAGTCAAGTATAAAGCAGTGCGTGCATTTTACCACCGCCGTGAACGCGCCGCTGAGATTCACATGTCACATCTTTTACCAAAACATGGGCAACGTGCAGCTCCCAGCGTAGAAAATAATGTTGAAAATATAAATCTAAACTCAATTTCTTTTATCGAAGTGTGAGAACGAAGCGCCAGAATGGTGAAGGAGCAATTCAGGGAGACAGACGTGGCCAAAAAGATGTAAGTATAAATGCTAAAGCTGTAGCATGTTAGCTCCAGTCTTAGCATACCGGTTAGCATGTGGAAGTTTACGACGCGAAAAAACACGCAACTTTATAACTAATTTATTCAACAAAACTATCCATGTTTTTATGTGTTTGTAGGGGTCTAAATTATACTGAAGTGATTATTTAATGTTTGCATAAGTCAGTATTTTTGACAATTAAATATTGACTGATAAAAAATATTGATCTTCTATGTAATTTTGCTCACTTCTTGATAAATTCTTCTGCAAAAACGTGATTTTGATGTGAGTTGTTTTGTTAAAATCAACATAAAGTAACATAACTTGGTAATAATTGAGCAAAAAATATTAAACATTTAAGATATTTTAGCAGCATCACTCAAAAGCCTGTGTTAAATTAAATAATAGTAATACAAATAGGGCTTTTATGCTTTTATGTGTAATCCAGAATGTAAAATGGTGTCAGTTTATTATTAATGATAATCAATAATAAATATTTATAAAGCACATTTAAAACCTAGGGTTTTAAAAGGGACAGTGTCAGCAGTCACCTCCAGTCTCTCTCTCTAAAACCTTCAAATCAGGCAAAAAATATATTTGTAATAATGGACTCAGACTTGAACTTTAACAGCCACATCAAATCAATAACATCTGCAGCCTTTTACCATCTAAAAAACATAGCAAAAATCAAAGGTTTACTGTCTAAATCAGACTTGGAGAAACTTATCCATGCATTTGTCTCCAGTAGGTTAGATACTGTAATGTTCTGCTCACTGGTCTCTCCAAACGAGCTGTGAGACGCTGCAGAACATCCAGAACGCTGCAGCTCGGGTCCTTACTCGAACTAGGAAGTATGAGCACATAAGTCCTCTGCTCAGGTCTCTGCACTGGCTCCTGTGGCTCAGAGAATAGACTTTAAAGCAGCTCTGCTTGTGTACAAGTTTGTCGTGAACCCCCCCCTCGGCCACAGGAGAGCTCACCCGGGTCGGTTAAAAGATGAAGGTTTTGGCGTAAATTCCATTGAGGGGCTCCTGACATTCAGATGAAGATGTTCAGAATGCTTTATTTTATTAAACGAATAGCTTTTAGAACATTAGAAGTTTTAAAATGATTGATTTAGATGATAGAGGCATTTTTGTGATCTATATTAACATAAGTTACTTGTTTTATTTTGATTTAACCTGACTTGTTTCTTTTAAATTGATTTATTTGATTCATCCAACTTAATTTTCAGGTTGGGTTGTTTGATATTATTTTTTGTAACTGCCATGTTTGTGTGCAGAAAGCATGCAAACAAGGGTTTCCTGCTCTTTTGACAGTTGACCCTTGTTTGACATTGTTTTTTATATGCTATACTTGTGTGCAAGAACATGTAACCAGGCGCGAGCTTCCTGTTCTTTTGATAGTTGAACCTCGCGCCTGGGCTTGAAGAGGCGGCTTGCCTGTGAAGCAATGTTGCGGTTTCCAAAGTGTTGTCTATTCTTAGAAAATGTGTGCTATATGTGACGTCTTAATCGCTTTGCATGTACCTGGGTGGAGTCCTGTGACCATAGGTATAAATACTGAAAAAATCTGCATAGAATTGTGATCCTGATTCGGTTGGCATTGGCCCCTCCGGTGTAATTCTGCTAAGGAGGTCAGATCTCCAATTTTGGACTAGGCAGCGCTTTATAGCTTACCCGGTCACAGGGTAATTTCTCCAAAAGGGTACTTGCATAGTGATTTGTCCTAATTGTTTTTGTATGAGCTTTTAAGTAAAATAGCAGCTACCGAGTGAGCTGGTCACAGTCATCCTGTTGTGAGCTTTCCACGCCTAAAAATCTTGAAGTAAGCGAACTTTTGCACAACGACGAACGATGGTATCAGCCACATGAGTAGCGCATAAAATCAATAAAAAGCCGGAAAATAAGACAAAGACAAATCACTTGTTGGGATCTTTTGTTGAGTCTCTCCCTTTAATTAATGTACATATATATATTCCTACCACGAGCAAGTCCAGTCATCCTAGGTGAGTTATCTGATAAAACGCAATGTTGGGGAAATTTTCTGATGCAATGTTTTGATGCAATGCTGAATTTGGATAAAGGTTTTGAGGCACTGCTAAGGATAAGTGAATATTTGCAATGTTTGGTGTAAAGCTAAATCTAGAGAAATGTTTTGAGGCACTGCTGTGAATAAGTTAATATCTGCAATGTTTTGAATGCTTTGAGGTACTGTTAAGAATAAGTAAGTGTCTGGCAAATGATATGAGATAGGGTAAGCAGGGGTATGAATTTAATCTAATGTATAGGGGTATGTTATATGGTGTTTTCTAAGGTTAAGTGATATTTAAAGTGTTGTCTAAGTGATATTTTAAGTATTGTTAGAGTTATTTTAGAAGGAGTGAGACACAGGCCACATTGCTCAGGCCTGGCTTCTTAACAAAGTCTCTCCATGGCCGAGCACCAAAATCCATCTGTGACATGTTAGTGTCATATGAACCATCTCACACTCTGAGGAGCTCAGGGACCGGCCTCCTGCTGGTGCCCAGAGTCACGACTAAACAAGGGGAGTCAGCGTTTCAGGTTCATGCAGCTAAAACCTGGAACAGTCTGAACATGTGAGACAGACTCTTCTGTGACGCTGTTTAAATCCAGACTCAAAACATTTCTGTTTGACTGTGCATATAACTGAAAGGTTTTCATTCCGCACTCTTCTCTCCAATGTATGTTTTTTAATTTTAATCTTTATGATTATTTATGTTTTGATTTGCTTTTATTATGATTTTAATGTATTTTTTATTCTGTAAAGCACTTTGAATTACTTTGTGTACGAATTGTGCTATACAAATAAACTTGCCTTGCCTTGCCTAGGGTTACAAAGTGCTGTACAAGCCTCAGAGAACAATATAAAAAGCATAAAAACAGCACACAGAAGACAAAAACAGACAAGGATGTAAACAAATCAACTAATTATGATAAACTAGATAATGACTTTTCCACTAAACACAGCTAGAGCAATTTTTGTCAGATACATGTCATCCTTCCATCCTTACTACATCTGATATATTTCCCAGTTACAGTACATCACCAGACAAGTGTTTAGAAGTCCATCACCCAGAATACTAGTTAAAGAGCCCATCTCATGCAAAATCAACTTTTCAGAGCTTTCTACCTTCTAAGAGTGATGTGTGGGCCTTGTATTTGTCGCCGAAGTGTTTTTTAGATTGAGTCGGCGTTTTTTTTTAACAAATTGCAGCGTATTTCTGCCACCCTCCCACGTGACAACGACCTAAAGCTGCTACAACGATGACGCGGCAGATACACTTATCACACATTTGACGTAGCAGAAAGCGCTTCGCACCCGCCCCGCTCCCCTGCTCCACTGCCTCTGCCCCGCCTCCACCCCACATCGTCTGACAATTCCCACATGAACACCTAAACAAAAGTGACAGCATAAGCTCATTGTTCTACACTGCAGTGAACACGATATAATAAGATAATCTCCTAGTGTTTATTAAAACTTTACCAATAGTAATGTTCAGCTGATGTGGACGCGGTGCTTGAGCTTCGTGCTCCTCAATGTCCTCGTCCGATTCCGGGTCCAACACATGCGGCTGAACGCGCTGTATCTCCATGATGAATAAAAGTTTATTCCTGCCACTATCAGGGTGCACGTCTGTCTCCCCCTCCCTCCCTGAGATGGCGGAGGAAGGGCGGCTCACTCAGAGCCTACGTCACGTTTGGAGGGCAGGAGCCTGTGCTTTCTCAGGATGAGCAATAGTCAGACTTTCACAGTTCCTGGTCTGTAATGCCTCCAAGAAATCAGTAAGATTTCATAACTACTGTGTAAAAAATGGATGTTCCAAAACCCAAATTGTGCTTGTTTATGTGCAGAAGATACAATGTGAAAAGAGTTATTTTGCATGAGATGGGCCCTTTAAACCTGCATTTTGCCTTATTAAAGAGTTTAAATACCTGGGACTGACATTGGACCCGACATTGACATTTAAGAAACACATTATGCGCCTTACAAAAACTGTTAATTTTAACTTAGTGAATTTTAGACAAGTAAGACCTTTTATGACTTTATATGCGGCACGAATGTTTTTACACTCCATGATTCTGTCCCATATAGACGACTGCATAACCACATGGTCACTCGCTGCTGGCACAACACTCAAACCCATCGAACCACTTTTTTAAAAAGCCATAAAAATATTGGACAAGAAACCATTCTCATTTCACCGTTGCACTATTTTAGACAAGTATAATTTGCTTAATTTTAATAATTTTATTGGTTTTAAATATGGATGTTTTGTTTATAAAGTTTTGCATGGACTTGCCCCTCCTCCATTACAGGATTTTATTAAAGTAAAGACTGAGTGGGATGGGAACTAGGGCCACAGCCCGGGGGAACTGTGACGTCCCACACAGACGCACAACATTCAGACAAGATGTGTCTCAGTCAGAGGCACAACATTTTGGAACAGTCTGCCACTATCAATAAGAGAAACTTCAACTCTTGCCACCTTCAGGTCCTACTTAAAAGAGTGGCTAAAGAAAAAACAGACTTGTGGACACTTTTAGTATAGATTTGTTACTTGTTTTTGCTTTGTTTAAATTTGTGGTGTTACCTGCCGAGGGACTACAGATGGAAATTAGCAGTCTTGCTATAATCTGGCATATTTACACTGCAATGTTGTAGATGTTCATTAATATGCACTGTCCCTATTAAAAAAAATTATAATAATAAAATAAATTTAATTGTTCCCAGTATACCCTAATTTTCAGGCAACTCCAAAACACAAGTGTGATCTGCATCCATTTCTCCACACAACCTCCAGTGCTCCTGCGAGGCGGAGGTCTGCCTACTCTTGATTTTAGGTTTAATGAAAAAAAAACGTGTCAAATTCTTCCAGCAATATTCTCTCCACAACAATGTATTAGTTGTACTGTGATGTATTTCAAATATCTAAAAAAGTCTTTATCTTCCAAACCGAATTTCTGCTTTAGTTGTTGAAAACTCATTAGCTTTCAGTTTTTCAAAAGAGTACAGACTGTGTTTCATTGTACTTTGTCTTCTAAGTACAACAATTACTTTAAAACTGATACGTGCCACCAGGAGTTTTTCTCTTGTGCTGTAAACACACACGACAAATCAGATCTAATTTTGGTGTTGTTTTGGTAATTCTAGTTCTCATTTTACTGGACATTAAACTGTACGCACTGATCCTTCTCTGTCGTTTGTGTCTGCAGAAGCCACATCTGTTTTGGGATGAAGTCGGCGGAGCAGATGAGGCAGCAGGCTCACATTCAGGTGGTCAGTAAAAACCTGTACAGCCAAGACCCGAGACGCACTCCTCTGGCCCACGGAGTCCTGGACCACCGCATGGTACGAAGACACAAAGACACAAGCGCACTTCACAACACTTCACAAACACACAAGACAATTTCTACAAGATGAGACACAGAGAAAGAGTCACAGGATTCGGCGCACGGGAACGAGACAAGACAAGATTTTGATATAATTTTGAATAAATTGTGCCGTTTAGTTCATAATTTTGGCTTCACAATCGTTTTATTTATTTAATTTTATAGTTTTACTCAGCCAAGTTATCCTTCTTTATCCAAGGCAAATGTAAAGAGAAAAAAAAAAGATAATTTTCTTGTGGCACGAGAACTTGTCTCATCCCTATTATTTACATGTATATTTTTTAAACATTCTTCGTTTTTGCAATGAAGTAAAACCTTAACCTCCACTTTGATGGCATAAAATATTAAAGTGGTGTACTTTTTATAACATCCACTTTGCATAAATCTACCGTCTTGTTTTATTTTATTCCAATTACACTCACATTTTTTCTCACTACATCTATTTACACCAACCGTAAGATTTCACACTGACCTATGTCTACCTGTCCTTTACTTTCCAGTTCCATACTTGTATCTAGGGCTGGGCGATATGGATCAAAAAATAGATCTCGATATATTTTGCTATATCTCGATATACGATATATATCTCGATATATGTTCAAGAAAAAATAACCCCTAAAACTATAAACTGCAAAAACAAATCTGCCAAATTCCACAAGGTCCTTTTTTTTAAATTGAAGTGTAAGAGGTCGACAGTTTAACATTTAAGAACATTTAAGATTACAAAAAACCCTAATTACATAAATAATAATTTAACTGTAAAATAAAATAAATAATACATATTTTCTTCTTTTCATTCATAAATAAAACAACTCAACACAAGTTCATCTTTGCATTAACTCTGTTCTCCAGACCATAATCATAACCATGAGCTCATTGAGCAGAAGAAGCTCAGGATGTTTTAACAGATCCATGTTTCTATCCAGCAGTGAGGAGCTCTGAGGTTTAATCCCACAATCCACTGCAGATCAAATCAAACGTTTCCAAACACTATTGTACAAGTGACACTGCAGCAGATTATTAATTAAAATATTCTGCATAAATAAACTTTACATTGCTAAACTTTACAATATATAAAGCAGAACGACTCTAGAGCCACATCAGCCCGTTTGAGATAATAATGTGTTTAATGCAGTTTTGCGCACGTGTGTTTACATTTTACAGAAACGAAACTTAAGCACATGGCTCATTTGCATAAACAGAGCACTTCTCACGCAGCTCAGCTCGTTTTGCTTCTTTCGGGCTAAAGGACACGACTCGGTGGAACATGAGGATGTGCTGCTGATGTTCTTGTCTGAAAATGGTGGAAAAGGTGCTTGAAGTTTTTCACTGGCACCAACTTTTGGCGTTCACGGCGATAGTGACGAGTGAAGGAGACACGAGCAACAAAATCAGGGAGGCGAGGGCGCGCGGGCGACGAGAGAGAAGGTAAACAAGAGAAGTGATGAAATCAGAATTGAATATAAGCATTATATCGATATATACGATATGTCAGAATTCATATATTTAAAATATCGATATATCGCCCACCCCTACTTGTATCAATCCAGTTAAATTTACTTTTGCGATCCAATTTCACATGTCTTTTAATAATAAAAAGTGATACACATTTTTAAGCTTTTACGTAACATTTAGAACAGGGGTCATCAAACTAAGGCCCGTGGGCAGACTCCGGCCCTCCACGCCCCTTTGATTGGCCACTTGCCTCATAAGGCCAATATGAGGCAATCCTCAAAAGTCGTCATGGCCTAGTTTTTTTTTTTTTTTTAATACATTTTGGCAACTAATAACATGTCGGTGTCTTGCATTTTGTTGATTTTTTTTTCAATTAAAAATAATATTTAAATGAGGTATTTATATTTAAATAATTATATGACATATTTACATTTACCGCCAAATTTTCTGTCGAATTTTCGTCATCTGACAAGCTCGAAACTGAACAATGACAGTCGATGCACGTGCAGAGTTCTGTAGTTCGGTTAAGGACAGGAAAATGGCTAATGTTAAAGTACGAAAAGTTGACAGAGCGTGCAGAGTTTTCAAATAACAGTGGACGACCGGTTATTTTTTTTGTTCAGTGTAAGGACTGAATAAAAGAATAAAATCTGTGTCTTCACTATGAAACCCGCCACAAAGTATACGAGCTTGAGAGGGCAAACGTCATTGTCCATCATTATCAGGAGAAATAATGTGGCCCCCAGAGAAAAAAGTTTGTAGACCCTTGATTTAGAGTGATCTGTGGATGTTTGTGTAATGCATATTATGTCTTTATGAAACAGACAGTTACTAATACTTAAATATGAATGATGTGTTCTTGATAATTTACAGTTTCTGCTCTCTTTCTTTCTTTTATTCCAGGGCACCAGTGAGAAGGACCGTCCCTGTTTAACTTGTGGAAAAAATCTGGCCGACTGTTTGGGACATTATGGATACCTGGATTTGGAGTTACCTTGTTTTCACGTTGGATATTTCAAAGCCATTATTGGAATCTTGCAGGTAAAAAGGTCCAGAGTCTTTAAGTGCAGAAAGCTAAGCAGTCCATAGATGGCAGCAGAGTATCGTGTTTACAGCTAGATTTATTGTAACATACAAAACCTGAGAAAATGTTTGAGAATTTTTGGCTTTTAGTTCACTTTATATAGTATATTACTTAAATGTACATTTTGTAGTCTCCATAAACATTTTATTAAGTTCTAGTGTATTCATACAGCACATTTAAAACAACTTCAGACCAAAGTGCTTCACATAATTCTACAAAGCAAAAGGAAGAAAAGAAAATAAAGAACGTGCTACATAAGAAAAAGCAATAACACGCCAAGCTGTCCTGTCTGTGTAATATTAAAGGCCAGAGAGAAGAGATGGGTTTAAAATTTTGACTTTATTGTCGTTGGCTGCTTATAAGCATAAAAATAACCATAATAAAAATATATGCATACACATAAATCCGTGTATCATTCGTTTCTCAATACAAAATCAAAAATAAAATGAAAAAACAACTATTTTCTTCATTATTTGTCTCCAAAACCGAATTGAAAAATACAGACAATGATTCGTTTTTTCAGTTTTCGATTTTGTGTTTAAATGAATTATTGAAAAAACTGACAACGACAGTTTCCGCAACTTAAACTGTGATGCTGGAGTTTTGTGCCACATACGGACTGATCCAGGACCGAACTAGGACTGAACCATGACTAAACAATTTTCAGTCCTGGTCTGGTCCCAGCCTCAGTCTCTGTCTCAGTCCCGGTCTCAGACCTGGTCCCGGTCCTGGTCTCAGTCCCGGTCTCAGACACTGGTCCTGGTCCCGGTCCTAGTCTGGTCCTGATCTCACTCGGTCCTGGTCCCGGTCTGGTCCCCGTCTAAGTCCTGGTCTCAGTCCCGGTCTGGTTCTGGTCTGGTCCCGGACCTAGTTTATTTCTAGTTTAGTCCTGGTTTAGACCTGGTTTAGTCCTGGTTTGGTCCTGGTTCAGCCCTGGTTCAGTCCGGCATCACAGTTTAAGTCACGGAAACACGGCTGTTATCCCTTTTTTTCCATTAATCATTTAAAAACAAAATCGAAAACTGAAAAAACAATCGTTACCTGTTTTTTTTTTTTCATTTTGTTTTTTAGACAAATAATGAAGAAAACAGTTGTTTGTTTTCTTATTTTTGGTTTTATATTGAAAAACAAATGAACAAATGATACACAGATTCACATACAAATACACAGATACTTTTGAAATGCGTTCCCTTCTCTTTGTGCTATATATATGTCTCTTATGTATTTCCTCGAAAACCTCTTCTCTCGTCTCTTTTCATGTGTAAATTTGTTCTCCGTACAGATGATTTGTAAAACGTGCTCGAGGATCATGCTGTCAAAGGAGGAGAAGCTGCAGTTTCTGGATTATCTGAAGAGACCAAACCTGGCCTATCTCCAAAAACGAGGACTCAAGAAGAAGATCTCAGACAAGTGCCGCAAAAAGACCATCTGCCTCAGCTGTTCGGCCTACAACGGTGAGAGGAGCAGGTTTAAACACGTCATACACACATCAGAAACTTTTAGAAAATGTTCAAGAATTTCGTAACTTCATGGGGTGGGCGATATTAAAAAATGACAAACCAGAACTTATCCAATAATTAAAGGCACAGTATGTAATTTTCTGGAGGTGGCTACATGATTCTAAGGAAATACAAAGTTAAAATTGTACTTTGGAACATTATCCATGGACATAGATAAGTTTAATGCCAAACTGTGGAACATTACAGCAATATTTCCAGGAAGTGACCCTCCTCCAGGCCAAATAAGAGTCAGGTTTGTGGAGATGCAAGCTCGTTTGTCAATGCAATAAATGCAACAAAAAGGGTAAAAAAAACAAACTTTTATTGTATTTTATTTGTGGGCTAAAAAGTTACATGCTGTGGCTTTAACTAGGTGAGAATGGACTCAGAATTTACTAAAGGACTAAATCACACCAGAACTAAACCAGGACTAGAACTAAACCAAGTCTACTTCAGAACTGGGCTTAAATCAGGTTCAGACCAGGTGAAAGTGCTCACGGATTCAGCTTGGACTTCTAACCGGGACTTCAACCAGGACTTCAACCAGGACCTCACCCAGGACCTCAAACCTGCACTTCAACCTGGACTTCAACCTGGACTTCAACCTGGACTTCAACCTGGACTTCAACCTGGACTTCAACCAGGACCTCACCCAGGACCTCAAACCTGCACTTCAACCTGGACTTCAACCTGGACTTCAACCAGGACTTCAGCCTGGACCTCACCCAGGACCTCAACCTGCACTTCAACCTGCACTTCAACCTGGACTTCAACCTGGACTTCAACCTGGACTTCAACCTGGACTTCAACCTGGACGCCAACCTGGACGCCAACCTGGACGTCAACTGGGACCTCAGCCAGGACCTCAGTCAGGACCTCAACCTGGACCTCAACCAGACTTGAACCTGGACTTCATCCTGGACTTCACCCAGGACCTTAACCAGGCCTCAACCTAGACTCCAGCCGGGATTCCAGCCGGGATTCTAGCCGGGACTCAACCTAGACTCAGCCTGGACTCCAACCTGGGCGCCAACCTGGACTCCAACCTGGACTCCAACCTGGACTGGACTCCCAAACCTGGACTACAACCTGGACTCCAACCTGGACTCCAACCTGGACTCCAACCTGGACTCCAACCTGGACTCCAACCTGGACTCCAACCTGGACTCCAACCTGGACTCCAACCTGGACTCCAACCTGGACTCCAACCTGGACTCCAACCTGGACTCTGGACTCCAACCTGGACTCCAACCTGGACTCCATGGACTCATCACATTAAACCTCCACACCACCAGCACCTGTACCTTCATATGAAAGTCTCAGCATTGTGTCCAGTTGTTTTAACCATATTTGATTTAATTCCAGGTCCAGTGAAGAAGTGTGGCCTCCTGAAGATCATTCATGAGAAATACAAGACGACCAAGAAGACCGTGGATCCGTTCGTGTCCGAGTTCATGCAGTCTTTTAACACGGCCATCGAACACAACAAGATCATAGAGCCTCTCCTGACCAGAGCACAGGTCAGCACACTGATACTCCACATACTCCTGCTGCATTTCTATTGCGTGTTTAAAGGTGCACTGTGTAACTTTTTGGTTGAGGGTCCGTCGCCGGCTTGTTTCTTGATTTCTTAGCTCAAAAATACCTAGAAAAAAATGGCACTGTGACTGTTGCCATCCATGAAGATAAAAAGGTTTAATGCCCGTTTAGTGAAAGCATTTGACGGACCCTCCACCAGAAAAGTTACGCAATGCACCTTTAATTTAGAGTACATTTCATCCACATTTTTGTCGTCTTTTGGGCCAGTTGTGGTTTTGAGCTACACTAGCAATGGTATAGTAGTAGTAGTAGTAGTAGTAGTAGTAGTAGTAGTAGTAGTAGTAGTAGTAGTAGTAGTAGTAGTAGTAGTAGTAGTAGTAGTAGTAGTAGCAGTAGTAATGGCAGCAGCAGTAGCTAGTTGTAGTAGTAGTAGTTGTACTTGTAGTGGCAATTGTAGTAGTAGTAGAAGTTGTCGTAGTTCTAGTAGTACTGTTTGGAGTTGTAGTCGTTGTAGTAGTAGTCGTAGTTGTAGTAGGACTGTTTGTAGTAGTTGTAGTTGGCGTAGTAGTAGTAGTAGTTGTACTTGTAGTAGAAGTAGTAGTTGTACTTGTTGTAGTAGTAGTAGTAGTAGAAGTTGTTGGAGTTGTAGTAGTACTGTTTGGATTTGTAGTAGTTGTATTAGGACTGTTTGTAGTAGTTGTAGTTGTAGTAGTAGAAGTAGTAGTTGTACTTGTAGTGGCAATTGTAGTAGTAGTAGAAGTTGTTGTAGTTGTAGTAGTACTGTTTGGATTTGTAGTAGTTGTATTAGGACTGTTTGTAGTAGTTGTAGTTGTGGTTGTAGTAGTAGAAGTAGTAGTTGTGCTTGTAGTAGTAGGAGTTGTTGTAGTTGTAGGAGTTGTAGTTATAGTAGGACTGTAGTTGTAGTAGTTGTAGTAGCAATTGTAGTAGCAGTTGTAGTAGTTGTACTTGTAGTAATAGTAGGTAGTTGTTGTAGTTGTAGTAGTACTGTTTGGAGTAGTAGTTGGAGTACAAGTTGTAGTTGTAGTAGTACTGTTTGTAGTAGTAGTTGTAGTTGTGTAGTTGTAGAAGCAGTTGTAGTAGTAGTTGTACTTGTAGCAGTAGCAGCAGTAGTAGTAGTTGTAGTTGGTGTAGTTGTAGTAGTACTGTTTGTAGTAGTAATAGTTGTTGTAGTTGGTGTAGTTGTAGTAGTACTGTTTGTAGTAATAGTAGTTGTAGTTGGTGTCGTTGTAGTAGTACTGTTTGTAGTAATAGTAGTTGGTGTAGTTGTAGTAGAACTGTTTGTAGTAGTAATAGTTGGTGTAGTTGTAGTAGTAGTTGATGGACATGTTCAGATCACTGATATTTCAGACCATGAAGTTGCCAAATTAATTACAGGCTTGAAAAATTCAAAAGCACTTGATGCATTTGGTTTAAACACAACTCTTCTGAAAGAATTTAAGGATCCTCTTGTACGACCCATCACCCATCTTATCAAATGGGTCTTTCTAATTTTCTGTTGTTCCAGCTGATTGGAAAATAGCTGCAGTGACACCAATTTTTAAATCAGTGTGCTAAAACAGACATGGTTAATTATCGGCCTATAAGCATACTTCCAGTTATATCTAAAATAGCTGAGAAAGTGGGTAGTCAAACTCCTTAAAGCTCATTTAGAAAACACCCAACCCTCACTACACCCACTACAGTTTGGCTTCCGAGCTCATCACTCCACAGACACTGCCCTGTGGTGCTAACAGAAAACATAAAGAGCTTGCTTGATAAGAGTCCCTGTGTTGGAGCTGTCTTCTTAGATCTGAAGAAAGCCTTTGACTCCGTAAATCATCAGATTCTACTGTCCCGGTTGACTCAGTTTAACATCTCCAGTCAAGCTCTCCAATGGTTTACATCATATCTGTCACACAGGAAACAGTATGTGGTAGTTGATGGGGTAAAATCTCAATTGTTGGATTCTGATGTTGGTGTCCCACAGGGCTCAATCCTTGGGCCTGTGTTATTCTCCCTCTCATCAACAATCTGCCAAATGCTTGTCCAAATACATTTTCACAGATGTATGCGGATGATGCAGTCATCTATACTCAAGCCAGAAGTTTCAGCAAGTTGCTGAGGACCTCACAGTTGCCTTATCATCTGTGCATAGCTGGCTCAAGGATTCGTGCCTTCTGCTAAACACCAAAAAAACTGTCTGCATGTACTTCTCAAAAACGTCACACCGATTTGAAGCAATCAAACGTTTTTTAATGGAGTTGAACTTGATCTGGTCTCAGAATTTAAATACCTCGGAGTAATTCTAGATTCAACACTATCCTTCAAAAGTCATGTTAAAAAAGTATCCCAGGTTATCCAGTTTAACATTCAGAACTTCCGTCATATCAGGAATAACTTAAACATGAACGCTGCAAAAACTTATTTCTATTCAATGATTATCTCTCACATCGATTACTGCTTAACTACTTGGTCTCTTGCCTGCCCCACAACACTTAAAACCATTGAAAACCTATATAAAAGAAGTCTAAAAATACTTGACAAAAAACCCATTTCCCACCACCACTGTCACATACTGAAAAAGCACAGGCTTCTGGATTTTAGCAACATGGTCAAACTCAAAAGGACTTGTCTAATTTATAAGTTCTACACTCCCTGGCACCACCACCATTAAATAATTACATTAAACGTAAAGACATTTCAATAAGAACCACACGAGCCACCACCAGGGGTGACTTGGTCATACCCCAGAGACGGACCACCTTTGGTCAGAATGTGTTATCTGTACAAGGTGGAAATCTGTGGAACAGTCTTCCACTGACCCTGAAAGAAAGCCCCACATACAGCTCTTTTAAAGCTCAAACAAAAACTTGGTTATGGTCAAATCAAACATGTACACATGTATAACTGCACTGTGATTTTAATTGTTTTTCTATGTGTAATGAATGGGAACTGTGCAATGTATGGGAACTGTGCAATAATGGGAACTGTGCAATGAATGGGAACTGTGCAATGAATGGGAACTGTGCAATGAATGGGAACTGTGCAATGAATGGAACTATATAATGAGTGGAGTGTGCAATATTTTAGTGTCTGGCCCCTGTGACCCCAGCCCTTGGGACAACGGATGGAAATTAGCCTTAGCTACAATCCGGTGTGTTTACATTCATGTTGTCATGTTTGTTCATTAACATGCTCTGTCCCAATCAAATAAATAAATAAATAAATAAATTAATGTAGTTGTAGTAGTACTGTTTGTAGTAATAGTTGATGTAGTTGTAGTAGTACTGTTTGTAGTAATAGTAGTTGGTGTAGTTGTAGTAGAACTGTTTGTAGTAGTAGTAGTTGGTGTAGTTGTTGTAGTAGTTGGTGTAGTTGTAGTAGTACTGTTTGTAGTAATAGTTGATGTAGTTGTAGTAGTACTGTTTGTAGTAATAGTTGATGTAGTTGTAGTAGAACTGTTTGTAGTAGTAATAGTTGATGTAGTTGTAGTAGTACTGTTTGTAGTTGTAGTTGAAGTAGTTGTAATAGTTGTAGTAGTTGTAGTAGTAGTAGTAGTAGTATCTTGTTCAAGGACAAACTGACCATATTTCTATATTTCTCTCTTTCCCTCCTCTTTCTTCCTGCAGGAGAACCTGAACCCTCTTTTGGTGCTGAGTCTGTTCCGGAGGATTCCAGAGGAGGACATTCCTTTGCTCCTCATGAATCCAAAGGCGGGAAAACCTTCAGACCTGATCCTGACCCGGCTCCTGGTCCCTCCGCTCTGTATCCGCCCGTCTGTCGTCAGCGACCTCAAGTCTGGAACCAACGAAGACGACCTCACCATGAAGCTCACGGAGATCATCTTCCTCAACGACGTCATCAAGAAGGTCAGTGGGGGCATTAAAGGGGCACTGTGTAACTTTTTGGCTGGAGGGTCCGTCGAATACTTTTCTTCATGGAGATTTTTGTCTTTTTGTCATCATGGAGACCAAACCAGGCTAAGTAAAGCTCGCCACACACTACAGGATATTTAGTCTTTAAACAGTTTTTAAACATGCAACAAAAAGCGCAGACATGAGGAGAATCTTACAAGACTTAAAATCTCCGATCGCAAAGACTGCAGCGGGATCTGTCCGCGCACCACAGGATATAAAGTTGTGAGCGCGATCTCGTCAGCTGTTTCCTGTCTACAGTAAAACCACTCGCTTTTAGACTCTTAAGTGTTCGAAAGATCAGAGCAATGACCTTCTAGTTTAGATGCAAGTCAAAACTGTGATATTATTATTTGTGAAATGTGGTGCAAAACTTCACATACATGATTTTTTGAGCATAAAACATTGGAGATAAAGTCCACGAGGAAGTAGAGTCACTGTCGCTGCAGCTTTACCTCAATCTGTGCACTCTGTGGATGTAAACAGACACGTGGGAGGAACTACTCTCACCTTTTTACTTTAAAAGAACACTTCAAACTGGATTCACAGAGCTGTTTTGTTTTGTGGACTGGGGTCATTATTTGTGATGGACAGTTTCTATGGATAATGTGGATGAGATGCTGCAGGTTAAGTTTACCACTTTATGAGAGCTGGGTATATCAGTATGTCAATATTTTTGTTTGTATCTTGCCTCTCTGTGTCCGTCACTCCTCAGCTCCTGACGCTCTTGTTTTAATGGCTGTTATCGTAGCATCGCTGATGTTTGGTGGTTATGAGCTGACAGAGCAGCTCAGAGTCAGACTGACACAGAGACGAGGAGCACAGTGACTTCAGAATCGCACACGAAGACACAAAGTCGGGTGACGCCTCCCTGCAGTCGAGGAAAAGCAGTGTGTGTAGTGTGTGGCGGCCTTTAGAGAGATGACCCCACTAACAGAAATACATGCATGCTTTGCTTTTCAAGGTATTTTTGAGTAAATAAAACACCTGTGATTGAATATCTGCAAAATGGGCAAATTTAATGCCATACTGTGGAATATTTCTAGCCAGGCTGGTGCCACCTAGTGCCTCTGATCAATTTCATTTTCCTTCAGCGACTAGGTTAGGAATGCAAGAAGCCTGGAAGTTGTAGACCGCGCACCGGCAAATTGGCGAAGAGCTGAACCAACCTGAGTTGCGGTCCTAACCCTTTGGACTTCCTTCCTTTTCAAATACAAACTTTGCATTTTTTATTGCAGAAACAACAGTGATCGTTGACATACATGTTCACTCTCTGCTTTGTTTCGTTCTGGTGAATTACAGATGTCATAACCAAATAACAGCGATTGGTTAAAAAAAAAAAGGTACCCGCCTACCGTAGAGCGAACGAATCCTAATGCTGCGAGGTCAGACGGTTTCCACGAAGTGAAACCGGCTGATGGATCAGGCTAGAATATTTCAGCATCTCTCCTAACTTTAATAAAACCCCTTTCAAAACAGATCTATAGCAAAGTAACCCCATAACAGTTAAAGGGTTAGTTCAAGATACACTAACTATAACTCACTTTTGTTGGTAGGAGGGGCCTCTCCACAGATCTGACCTGTAACTTGACCTTGTGGTGTCACCAGCTTGTTTAGATGGAGACAAGCTGGTGACCTCTATGGAAAACTTAAATTGAAGATATTTAAAAAGTTTTCCTTCCTACATTTCTATTCAGTTCACGTTTATTTATATAGGACTTCTTTTTTGGTTGGATTTTTATTAAGGGCTGCCTGCTGCTAAAAACAGTCCCTTCTCTCTGCACACAAATAAAACACCTACTTATTCTCCTCTTTCTTACCCTCCGCTCATATTCACTGCTTCAAATACGACCGCTGGGTGCTTTGTGCTACTCCTGCATCGTGGCATCTGTTTTCTCAACCCACCTGCAGCCAGCCCCGGTTTGGATTCAATCTGAAAAGTTTCTGAAAGTACAGTACGCCCACTGAACCGGTGACAATATAGGATCAGCACCTGGGCAATAATCCTTTTGTCCTTAGAGACGAGGGCTGGGTGTCATTAAGAAGCTGCCGATACAAAACATACCTCGATACATAGGCCACGATACGATATATATCTCGGTACAGTGCATTTCGGTTCAGTACGATATGTTTCAAATCGATAAAATAAAGGCTAAATCATGGCTGTGATACTAAAAGTCTTTGTTAAACCACTTTTTGTGCAAAGTTCATATGAAACACAAACATTTTAATCATCAAAAGAGTGAAAATGTCAAATGTGTCGAGTTTCCTTCCACTGAACAAACAATAAAACTGTAGCTGTAACGAAATAATTTAGTAAAACATGCCAAAAAATACTCTTAGCGATATATTGATACAGCAGCCCACGATATCGATACTCTATCATCACATTAGACGATATGATATATGGATATTGGGATGTTTTAGCACACCCCTAAAGTCCAGTAAGTTTGTCCAAAATTAATATGAAAATCACCCATTTTACTCAAAACAGTGAAAATGTCAACAGAAATATAGCTCTTACACAAAATAATTTAGTAAAATATACCAAAAATTACTCTCCGCAATATCGATACAGCAGCCCACGATATCGATACTGTATCATCAAATTAAACAAAACGATATTTCAGTATTTTTGCACAACCCTTTAAAAGTCCAATCCTAATCATTTTAAATCTATTGGGAGTTTGCGTTTTTTTTTTTTTATTATTTTTTTTGCATCTTCTCTCTACTTAACACAGAGGAGGAATTCAGACACGGTAAATCCACTCCTACAGACAGTTTGCGGACAGAGGTGACTGTTCACTTGTTAAAGGTGCACTGTGTAACTTTTCTCGTGGAAGGCAAAGCAGAAATTTGTCAACTGGACAAAAGTTTATTTTTTGGTCAAATATGCTCATCCAAGCTGCTTCTTCAGTTCTGGTCAGACGCTGGAGGACACTGCCTTAAATCTGCCTGAAGGGAAAAACCAACCGCACTGAAACCAATGCTGTGTTTTAATATTCTCTGTGAACCCACTTGGATTTGGTTTTATTATGTTTCGCGTGTCCGACTTGGAGAAGAACATGAGAGCCACCCGGAACCTGACACCCAAACCCATAGGCAGTGATACGGACTAGGGATGGGCATTCGATGAAATTTTCTTAATCGATCGTCGGAAGAATTAACGATCGATTATCGATTAATCATTAACGTTTTTATATTAAAATGATCATCATTATTATTATTATCTGCACTACTAATCTGCATAAATAAATTCAACTTTACGACATATAACCGTAACGACTCTAGAGCCACATCAATCTGTTTGAGATTATAATGTGTTTAATTCAGTTTTGCGCAACTCTTACAGAAACGAAACTTAAAACCGTATCACTAATTTGCATAAACTCAGCGAAGATAAAACTACAGCTCTTTCTGTTGGATTAAAAGACATGTTTCAGTGGAATACAGGTTAGTAGTTATTTGACCGTATTTGCGTTTGTCAAAACCAGGACACCGTACGGGGGGAGGGAGGCGGGGACTCGTCATCGACATTGAGCGACTCTCACCTGGTAAAGCTTTTTCCCACTGGACACCGAAACATATGTTCCTGCTTTGTACACTGTGCACATGGCCTCCCACTTGTCCCAAACGCAACGGAAAGCGTGGAATTTCTTGTACAAATCATCGTTAAATATGCATTTGTGCTTCGGTACGTTGCAGACTGACCGACTGTTTGTGTTTGCTCGCTCCTTCTGATGCAGAGACACATGTACGGACCCTGTTTGGTCACGCCACGCACAACAACCTACATTCGGTTTGTCGATTAAAATTAACGTAATCAATGAAATTCTTAATGATCAATTATCGATTAATCGATTAATCATGCCCACCCCTAATACGGACGCAGTTAAGAATTGCAGTAATACGAGTGACGGTCATTTAAACCACTAAAGCGTCCAAACACAATCAAAACAGTTTATATTTGGAAGTGACATCTTGAATTCTGTCCGTCTCTCTGCGTTGTTCGAGCAGGCAAGTTCGCCGTCCGAGGAAAAGGGGCATGTCAGTGCGTGTTGCGAGCCAGTGTCCTTGGACCCCCGAGATGGATAAATAATAAAACACACAATAACACAGTGTAGTTTCAGTGTAGTTTGCTCCTCCCTTCAGGCAGATTTAAGGCAGTGGCCTCCAGTGTCTGACCAGAACTGAAGAAGCAGCTTGGATGAACAGCAAAACATATTCGACCAAAAAATAAACTTTTGTCTAGTTGACAAATTGAATTTCTCCTTTGACTTCTGCCTGGACGACTGAAGGATTTTATATAGAGTACATCTTTTCTAGTGGAAGGTTGTCTGCTCGTCTCCATGGAAACGTTATTGCTGAAATGTCCCATAGTATGACGTCAAATATCTATCTCCATGGAGTCAAGCAGGTGACGCTACTTGGCCAATTTACAGGTCAGATCTGTGGATAAATGGCCCTGCTCTTGTTCTGATTATTTCTTATTTGAATATCTGAATAGAATATCTGTTTTCCATGACGGTAAAATCCCCTGTATCTCAATAAATGCAGATAATATACATTTAATGCAATACTGTGGAACATTGTAGGTAAAGCAGTAACTTCTCCATGGCTACAAACAGGTGCCAGACCCTCCACAGATGTCATAGATGTTAACTTTATAACACTTGACTACAAAATGTCTTCTTTAACGTAATCACATTTAAAGTTTCACAAAAATCTTGCTTAGTTTTTCTGCTTGACGAGGTTTACAACCGCTGTGACACACGTAGAGATAATTCCATAACTGTTACCTTGCAACCATAGCGTTAACGAGAACCAAAGCCCTTAATTTGCCCAGTGGTTATTTTTTAATTAGACTATTAAAAATAAATGGAGAAGGTCAGTGAGGAACTTTTAAAGAGCCCCGTTTTGAATTTCATGGCCAGAAGCGTAGAAATCTGGATGTG